AATAAGCGAAGGCGAATTTTCCCTCGTTAAACTTGAGAAATACAAATCATGTTAAACGCATGTGCGCAAATACATTTGTTAGTCATGTCGATTTGCATTCGATGCGATTCACTCACATCGTCAGCTTACATCCAACAGAATTTTAAATAATTTTGAGTATTTATGGCTTATTTATTGTTCGTTTACTTAAAATATTCCATGTTAGAGAGACGCACTGATATATAAATAAGTATAGATATATAAAGATCAAATCCTTTAAATCTTTACATTAAAGTTAAAAATTTTAAATAAAAAAGTTTAATAAAACATGATTCTTCAAATATTAATTAATTCAAGACAGAAATAATGGTAAGATAATAATATATACATGATATGTGTATTATATTAAATTAATTATGAATATAAAAATTTAACTTTCTGTAAATATTTAAATTAATAATCATAAAACAAAATTAATGTTTTGTTTACATGCATATATCTCATTATATAATATATATAATAGAATAAATATTCCAAATATAGATTATGATTTAATAAATTAATCTTTATATATGTATAATCATTGTTAATATCTAATCTCGTACAACTCACAAACAAATGGAAGAAGTTTCACCGATTATGCATTCTTAAAAGTTCATGACTTCCATTTTGAAAGCCCTACCCTTCATCGCTTTGTTAGCTATTTTACTCATAGTCGGTGCGGTATTCGTATCATCATCACTGTTTACATCCTCATCTTCTTCCGGGAAGTCCTCGAGCCGATCATGATATTCATCAAGCTGAAAATAAAAAAATTCAATTTTACTAAATATTTATTAAAGTATGATAAATCAACTAAGAAAATTATACGAGGCCACGATCTTGACTTTTGGAGCGAAAAAGTATAAATAATCAAAATAATTTTACTTTTTTGTTTACTTTTGTTATAATTTACAAACGCATTTATAGTAAGATTCTTTTCAATTATATGTAAACGGAAACTTTATTTCAACTTCAAAATCGTCAAAGTGTAAGCCTCGACAAAAATTGAAAGGTTCAGTATCATAAGTGATCCAAGTTTTACATAAATTATATTCGGCTTTCGACTGCACCATCATCATGTAAGAATAAAAACAAATAGTACTTCTAAACCAAAGCTATTTATAATCTTCTGATGAGAGTTCTCTGAACTATCATTTTTATAAGTTTTTATAAGTTTTATAAATTTTTAACTTGCGATTACAGAGTCGTAAATAGCTTCTATTTCTGAGTTATTTGCTTCTTTATTTCCACATAACACGAAGGCTAACTGAACAAGGACGTAGAACGATCTATGTACGCAATTTTGACAGACCACTTTTAATTCTCAACCGATCAATTATCCTATACATACATGAGCATTTCTGGAGAAGCTTCATTCCTGGTGAAGCATAACGTGAATCCTGATGATAGATGAGAATTGTGGAATTGTCATGTTTGACATGCTAATCAGATCAAACTTCGAGTCGAGTATACTTACCAAAAGCAAGCATGCTAATCCATCACATTAAATATTATAAATCTATATTTAATTTTTTATGGCAACATCTCGATATAAATAAACCGCAATTATTTTGTCCAAACTGATAGAATTCATTTTGTAATTAATTTTTGTAATTTGTGATTATAAATCTTATTAATTTGGAGATATGACATGAATATCTCTCTTAGAGACATACATTTAGAAATAAACAGGCAAATATATTTTAAATTTTGAAATACCTCACATTTGCGCTAATCGTTTTAATCGTCGGATCGTTCTCTTAACACAACAAATATTCATTCATCTTACATTATAAGGATTCGAAAGATCTATGTCATGCATTCTATGATGATAATGACAGTTTATTACGAGGAGTTTCAGATTCATTTAAAGGTATTGGCGTAGTATTCGTTCATTATTAAATCGTGCAGTTAATTCATCGGGATTTTGAAACGTGAGTATGATTTATCGCGTGATAAGAGGGGGAAACGGAAAATCAGGAGACAGAGACTAGATGCCACGATGCTACGCGACATTACGCTGACATCGTGCACGTATGACGATGAATGCACTAGAAGTAACATTCACAGGATGCATTCTCAAAAGTTGATACTGCGAACTCACGTGTAACGTAGCTACGGGGATATCGAGGGGAATCGACGTTACCACAGACAGAACGGATGCTTACCTACAACTGCAGATCGTAGGTTCAATTGTGAATTACCTAGACATCGCGTATCACGTACGCACGCTTAATTGGCTCACCATGAGAAACAGCTTGCGCAACAGCTCGGGTGGAATCGATGTAAGCAACGTCGAACAATTTACGAGTCTGTATTAATCGCGCAAGGCCACGCCGCTGATCAACTGCCATGACATCCGTTAACCCGTGGTGCGCTAATTAAGCTACTCCGTTTGGAGACAGGCTATCTCGGAGGGGGGGGGGGGTACAACGCTACTTGTTCAAAACAATTACTTTAAGGGAGAAGGAGCAAACGCTATTCTCGTCCAAAACAATTAGCTCAAGGGGGAAGGGGCAACGTGCCGTTCGTTTATCTTCGAGTCGACCAGTCGGTGGACTGTCCGCCTCGCGAACTTTACACACATTCCATCACGAAACACGACCACAAGCCACAACCGCTATTTTTGCGGATGATACTTTTCTCCGCGCGCAATTTCATGTTTACACATATCTTCCAAAGTAGCTCATTAGATTTCTACATATAAAATACATATGGCTACGATTGCAACGGCAAGCTGTACTCACGTCAACGTCTCCCATCATTTCCTTCGTGGAAACGGTGGTGTCTATACGTCGAATACTGCCCTGATGGATGTCAACATCGAGTTTCACTAATTGGAATCGTCGTAGAAGGAAAACGATAGGAATCGGCGCAATACCAGCCAAGATAATAACGACGGCAATGCCCAGCACCCAGCCAGGATAATTCGTAGGTATTGCCTACCCTAAAAACAAAGCGGAATATTTTTAAAAGTATATGATTATGTATAAAAG